AAGTTGACATCACCCGATGAAGGGCTAATCATATACACAGAGACGTTGTGTGCTCATAATAGAGATGTTGACATCTCATGATGAACGATAAATCATACACACCGAAATATGATAAATAAGTTGACATGACCTAAGGAAGGACTACTAGTCATATGCACCGAGACGTTGTGTTGCTTATGATAGAGAAGTTGACATCATCTGATAAGGGGCTAATCATATACACCGAAGCGCTGTGTTGCTTATGATAGAGAAGTTGACATCATCTGGTGAAGGACTAGTCATATACACCGAGACGTTGTGTTGCTTATGATAGAGAAGTTGACATCATCTAATGAGGGGCTTATCATATACACCGAAACGCTGTGTTGCTTATGATAGAGAAGTTGACATCATTTGAGGAAGGACTAGTCATATACACCGACACGTCATGTTCTTATTATAAAGAAGATGTCATCACATGAGGAACCACAAACCATAAACATCGAGCGCTGAATTCCTAACAATAGAGAATTTGACATTACCTGATGAAGGTGAGAGCATATACATCGAAACGTTGTGGTCTTTAGCAAAAGATGATGACATTCATAAATTCTCTATCCATTTTAATAGCTTTGTGTTCAATAGCTATATTGTTTTCAGTATGTATCATGCATCAAACGGGTTTTGGGTGTGTGTAGTTTTCATTGTGTCGCTAAATGAAAACTATTTAGCAACTGAAGATGAATCGGACATCTTCTGTGTATGGAACGTTTCTGAACTGGGGAACAGATTCATTGTAAAACAATAATACAAATCCTACAGTTGATCATTCTATTTCTACCATGTAGAATACACGGATATAATCAGGAATGTAAATAAGCAAAGAAATATCCAATGGTAGATCCCTTGTTCAAAGAACCTCACATACATGATGATGCTTTAGTATGCATTTTTGAGCCGAAATCTTTTACCTGCCTGTCTGTCTTACTGTTGGAACAAGCACCATGTCAAGCAAATGAAGCACATCCTCTAAATGTCTTCAAATAATAGCGACAAAACCCTTTCCACATTCATAAGAAACCTCTGATTCTACAAGACATGCGGTCGCGTTAGAATATCTGCACTTCTTCAAGTAACTTTTTTAAACGATACAAAAAACATCATGTGTTATTTTCTGTAGGGATTCAAATGACGTGTCTGTGAATGTTGTTTTTGCTTTAAAGTCAATGCCAACGTGACATTTAAATCCTTAACTCGTGTGTAAATTGCAATGTTTTCAGAGGAAATTGTCTGTGTTCATTACAGCATTGACATTCAGCACCTAGGACGGTGTTGTCGCCCAAATTTGACCATTGCTTAAGGAGTGACCTACATTTGACCTTCGAAAGGTGTGGAAAATCAGAATCTGTAGCCTGTTTGTAAACAAATTTCTTTGTCGAATCGAGACTCTACAGCCAACATGGCAACCACTGAAATCAATTTAAGATGTGTGCATCAAACATTTAAATAGTTAGGGGGATTTCATCTGTGTACTTTGTAAAATAATTGTTTTTGCATTTAATAGATTTTTTTGTCTTAAATGTATAAAATTCCCCATTACTGAAGTTCTTTTCACGTTTTGCGGACTTTCACCGTTAAAATACTTTCTGCTATTATTTAAGGAATTCGGGGGACGTTTCGAGGATTTGCTTTCATTTACATTGGTTTGTTTTGTTTTCTGGAATCAACAAATGCCGGAAAGAAGTAGTTTGAAAGACCGCTTTTGTCTATATTACACGTTAGGACCTAATTCATGTGAAAGGTTTACCTGAAGACAATGCGATGTTATGCAAGGCCTAGTTATGGGTATTTCGGTGTGTTGTATTCTATCTTTCATAAAATGGTTGATTTCATTTGCTTTGTGTAATAGCTGATTGTAATGAATTTGCTACGAATGCAAACATCTGATAATGGATAATTTCATCAGGTTAATGTCTCTATTTCTTGCCATAGTAAAATATCATTACCATTTGATATTTATACACAGTCTCGATGTAAAGTGACTGCAATTTAAAGTCAAGAAGAAGCCGTCATTTAATAGGTGACCTTTCTGGATAAATGCAAAGACTCTGAAAGTGACCAATACAACGATGTAAACTGACTGAAATTTAAAGTCAAGAAGAAGCCGTCATTTAATAGGTGACCAATCTGGATAAATTCAAAGACTCTGAAAGTGACTAATACAACGATGTAAACTGACTGAAATTTAAAGTCAAGAAGAAGCCATCATTTAATAGGTGACCTTTCTGGATAAATGCAAAGACTCTGAAAGTGACCAATACAACGATGTAAACTGACTGAAAGTTAAAGTCAAGAAGAAGCCATCATTTAATAGGTGACCTTTCTGGATAAATGCAAAGACTCTGAAAGTGACCAATACAACGATGTAAACTGACTGAAAGTTAAAGTCAAGAAGAAGCCGTCATTTAATAGGTCACGAATCTGGATAAATTCAAAGACTCAGAACGTGACCAATACAACGACCTTGACATTCGAGTGGACATCAAGATCCAAGACCTCAACATGAATTCACTGTTCATTATTTGCCCACCTCTTTCATGGCACCACAGACAAAATACAAGCCGAGCTGATTGTAACATACGTTTAGAATCGGACAGAAATGTGAACGTTTGACTATATTCATTTTATCACATGTATAGTCATGAAATGACAAAGATTATATGTTATTCGGATACCAACATTAATCTGTGGGATACCAATCACTTCAACAGTCCTAATGGTTCGTATGTTCCAAAATGGAAGGATGAAGTATAGATGTGAGGGGTGGGGTGGTGTTTGCCTACATCCCTATTTCAGCAAACTAGCCCACCACTCAAACAACAAACTCTTCATCCACGTGTGTTTTTAATGTTAGAACATGATACAATTGTAAAATAAACCATGTGTTTCATTATTAAACTAGGATAAATTACATGGCTCAATTCAAATTTACATAGGCAAATGTGTGATGATTATAAGTCATAAAACATATGTGTACCTTCATGTCAGGGCGGATGCACACCAAACATGTTGTTATCGAACAGCAATACAAAGTCTCCAGTGTTGTAGCTTTATCCAAAGAACACACCAATACATTGGCTTAAAAATCATTATTAAACAAAACGTAAACCAATTCCAAATACAGTTTGGCATAATGAACACGATCACATTCGCTCTTTTCGCGTTACGCCCGACAAAGTCAGCTATTTACGGTGATAAGATATTGTTAACAAATATTGAACCCCATCATGCTATGCCCATCATCCCATAGACATGATTGCCGCCGTAGGGCCTCCCATAAAAAACAAACAAAAGAAGACAATTTCAAATTCCAAACATTGGCCGGGCTAAGCAAAAGGCACACGACATTGTTTAAGCTTTGCGGGAAGAAGACCGAAAATGACACTGTATGCTAAGGACGGACGTATTGGTGTGACCGTCTTGTCCAGTATTGTCCGAAAGCGGGTTGGACAGGCAGAGATCGGGCGTACCAGCGGTCAAAAATAGCATGTGGTGACTTCACACGTCCACTCTTTAGCGTCTATGTTGAACTACACGGGCAGTTTTGTTTGCATAATGTAACGGTATTTCCTCCTGGAAACGTTTATGGTTATCTGAAATTGGTAGGTGTAGGGTATTAAATATGTGCACCTTGTGCCCTAAATATTGTTCTTATTTGACACATTTGATTATCATCAAGAGATGAGATGAGACAATAATATTTTAGCAACAAACAAAGGAAAGGGCGAGATTACATGAATCTCATTGTGAATTAGAAAACATAATTTCTTTCAGTAGCACACGGTTAATGTATGAGATATATTCACTGAAACAACATTCTCACTGCATTCAACCTGTATGAGGAAAGTCAATACACCATGGGAAAAGGCGCGTTCATATCTTTACCTTTGTAAAACTGTAAAACTTCTGCAAAACAGATATTCCAGCAGCTCCGGTCTTTGGTGCTTCATTTCACAAATTTAGAGGGACTATCTAGTATGCTCTTTGTGCGAAGATTTCAAAGAGCGTTTCAAGGCCTCAGTAAAGCTTTCAGAAGCTGTTATGGTAGACTTTGGCAGCGACAAGATACTGCCAGTCGCAAAAGGTAGAAGGGGCATTCAGCTATCGGGCAAATTGGAGTCAAGTAGCTTATACATTACTTTGTCCACTGATAAGGCAGATATGTGTCTGTATACAGTATACAGTATTCTTATCTAAAATCAATGTTTCAGTATAAAGAACGTGAGCGAAAATCACTGAAAGCAGATCCTCTTTGACCAAGGATCATTCACGTTTGTACCTGCGGCACAATGTCGTTCATTATTGTCTGATAGACGGAAGATACAATCAGTGTGTAAGCGGTTAACGAAGACACTTAAAGACTTGAGAGACAACAAACACCAATTGCAGTCTCTCTGGCTGGATGTGCATTGGGATGAGTGATGGTTTTATGCACACATGCACAGCTGTATGTGCATACGTTGAGCTGTTTACGTATTTGTTTGCATAACTTTGACATGGAACAAACATCAGATTGTTTATGCATATGGTCATGTTAACATGGCACGGGGACATGTATTGCGTCTTGCATTGTTTACATGTCATGGACCTATGCCATGACAAACTGTGCTCTGTGAACATAAGAATCCTCATTATGCAAGCATACACACATTCGAACATTTAATAAAAGGGTGTGAGTAAACTAGCAATATGTGTTCGTCTCAGGACATCTTCTGTAAGGAAGTGGGGTACCAGCATGTACCTTATCTCCAGCCACAAACGTGAATCTATGCCATCTGAATCTAATACAGAATCCAGTCGGAATCTAAATTATTATTATTAATAATACTGCCACATGGGTAGACGGATACATGATAGATGGATGGGCGGATGGTTAGTTGGTTTAGAACTGATACTAAACTGTTTTAAATGGAATCATAAAACATTAATTAAACAAAATTATCTGCAAAAAATGATCTCACCTGTGAAGGTAAGGGTATCAGAAGTAAGGGAACAGAACTGTTCACTCAGGTCCATATTATGCTCGGTATATTCTTCTACACACAGAAACAACAAGCCCACACATTGCCTGCCGTGTCCGCCAGAACACTGGGACTTGTGGAGATCTGTCGACTGGTGGTGCACATACTTCGACAAATCAAGTCCCAGAATAAAGTCGGAGTGTACCACACTCAGCTGTGATAAAATACAAAATGAGTTAAAAATACGGAAAAATACACGAAAACACACCAGGGAAAACTAATATAGAAATTGCTTATCCATGAAAGAGATTAGGGGCTTCGCTTTACTTGTCCATCTTTATAAGAAGTTGTGAGCAGGGCTGATGACAAGGAAATAATAAATTGCTATACCCGAAACACAATGCGTACCACTACTGTTGGAGAAAGTAGACTGACTGAGTTTAGTTTTACGCCGCTTTTAGCAATATTCCAGCAATATCACGGCGGGGGGACACCAGAAAAGGGCTTAACACATTGTGCCCATGTGGGGAATCGAACCCGGGTCTTCGGCGTGACGAGCCAACGCTTTAACCACTAGGCTACCCCACCGCCCCTGGAGAAAGTAGAAGGGTTCTAAATTGGGAACAAGGCAAAAGAATAGCTGGCTATACAGGTACGAGGATTAGGGAAAAGACGATGTTTACAGAAACATTTTTTGCCTTCAAGTTATACATAAACTGCCGGACAAAAGTATGTACACACCGACGTTAGATACTGGCTAAAATGACACAAACAGGAAATGATTATTCGATGATGGTTTGTATTATACGGGTATCACAAGTGTGTTTAGGATCGTAACGCTACTTTGTTTCGATGACGTTTTAAGCTTAATGTTTGTGACGGTTTGGTCACATTCAATTTAAAATAGTGTCCTTAAAGTGTTTCTTTTGCCCTGCAGAATATATTGTGTATATGAACAAGCACGTTACATTTGGTGGTAAACTGACATGTACATAGCAAAACTGGTATACTAATTATGATGTGTATTTCGTTTGTATATTTCTTGATAAAAGTGCAACTTCGGAATTGTCGATACACATGTATATATTGATCTATTTCTAGCGTTATCTGTCGCTGGATTAAATTAAGATAGGTATTGTGGCACTAAATATACATACAGTATACGCAAATATATTCATAAAAGTTTAAAAGAATGAAAATTTAGAAATACCCTGATTTTGGGAAACAAATTACTAAAAACGACATGTATTGCTAATCTTCAATGCATGACTATTCATAAATTGTGAATAGTCATATAATCGAAGTATAAATGTTATTTGTGTTTACATGATACATTACAGTACATGAGCAGCTATATATAGAGTGAAGCAATACTTTACAGTAAAGTTGACGCCGCTGTACATCATTCGGCCATTTGTTCAGGGAAATGTGTTATGGTTGACATGGCCAGTACAGACCTCCTCCACTAATATACCTATTCCGAGAAGCTTATATTCGTATAGGTATCTTACATTTCATTTAAAATAAATAGTGAATACTGAAGAAAATTAACAACGAGTACTACCGGCTATGTATAGTTGTTTCGATATTATGCAATTATTCTACTGAAATGATAGGGTCCATTCGATTCCCTCATATTCCTACTGTTAGTTGCGTGGCATTAACTATTATAATATATAAGAATAGGGTTGTAATTTTATTAAGGAGTAAAGAGCAGGTTTAGAGTGCAACAGCACAATGTAATATTATTATGGAATGTGGAGCTTATAAGTTTCTTCAGCGTTATTGTAAAATTTAATTCAGTATGTACATTTTCAGTTTTAAATAAATTCATTTCAGTACGTATATTTTCAGTTTAAAAAAAATTCATTTCAGTGAAAATATAAAAATATGAAACGTCAGTAAAATTAATTAATTAAAACACTCACCTTCAGTATGCTGATCACAAGTAATATGAAAGTTACATTCCTCCACACTCGTTTCATTTTGAGATTTTTAAAAGCGCTGTAAATTCCAATAAAGTTCCAAAATTATTTTCACAAGCTGACCCGTCTTCTCATCATGTCTATCCCACCATTAGAGAACTTGGTTTCACAAAGTCTGTCAAACGACTGTGTAATTTCTGCTGGTATTTGGCAGCTGCTTACTCAGGGATTGCTCCCAAACCAAGCCTCCCTCAATGCAAACAGAATCAAAATTAACAGCACCAGGCCCGCAGCAGTGAACTGTATGCGTCAGCTTCGACTTCTTTGTAGACAATAGTTAGCGTTAGGGATGCGACGCTTTCAGAGGAGACGGACGAGGACTGCGTAGGAATACTTAACGAAATTCGTGACCTTCCGCGACTCCCAGTAGTTCCTACGACGTAAACACATAGCGATGTGAAAACTCTCACGGACTTTGGCGAGTAAATAACACACTCACGAATTCATTTCAAAGACCTTTAAGGAAAGCTAATGAAGTCGGTACGTAAGACTACGTGCGACATTTCAACCGCTAGACACCAGGTGACGTTACCTAAACGAGGAAAGAAACATCTTAAAATTTATGTCTAATACTGCAAAGTAGGTGTTGTGAGGGTGTTGAATTTATTTGAAGTAACTAAAAGTTTCAGATTTTGTTGTCCAAGAAGGATGCTGAATTTGGGAGGTATATGTGTTTGTTTAAACCGATGACATCATTGTAGTATAGGGGAACTGCTTCCAAATGAATTTGTTTTTTATGTTTTAATGGTCAGTTTTGAGTAACATTATGCATTAGAATGTCGGTTATATATTCATATATCCAAGGAAATTATATATTGGAATATAAAATCATCTTTTAATAGAATGTTTTTATGAATAGTACTGATGTCCATCTGCATCAGTGCTTTAAAATCATTAAGAAAACTGGGGCGGTGGGGTAGCCTAGTGGTTAAAGCGTTCGTTCGTCACGCCGAAGACGCTGGTTCGATTACACCATGGGTACAATGTGTGAAGCCCATTTCTGGTGTCCCCTTCTGTGATATTGCTGGAATATTAAGTTGTTACAGTAGCTGCTATGAACAAGTATTAGACGGTCGCGATATTGTTCTGTTTGTAATGTAAATACGTACTGGATGTTTCAGACGCACACTGTGTCTACCTGCTATATATTCTGTTGTATTACAGGCGTTCATCCAGAACAAAATCATCTATATAGTATGACCAGAAATTATTGAGAAATTTAGGAATATGTTTAATTGGATTTCTAGTATAAACAACCGTGACCAGCTATCAAGTGCTTGGTTTCATTCAAGAGAGACAACTCCGTTGATCATTTTCCATTAGTTTGTGAAGAGTTATCCCCCTTTGTTTACTTGCTAGCAGACGACATTTTCAGTGATCCTCAGTATGGATGATTTAGAGAAAAGGAAGTTGATTTTAGAGTATTATAGCAAGGACATCAGATCAGCTGAAGTGATTTCAAGGAGAACAGGCATCCCTTTGTCCACTGTTTATCGTGTTTTGAAAAATATTGCCAATGGATATGGCATTCAGCACCAGGGAGGCGCAGGTAGCCCCAGAAAATTGACTGTCGGTGACAGGAGGCGGCTTGGTATTCTTGTTTCTAAAAACAAACGAAGGAGTTTAGAAAACTTAAGGCTGGATATGATTGATAGAGGAACTGTGGCTGTCTGTAAGGAGACAATTAGAACTGAGCTGCATGCAATGGGTTGGCAGAAAAGTCGAGGAATTCCATCACCGATCATGAAACCTGAACAGAAGGAGCGAAGGTTGAACTGGTGCTTACAGCATAGAAATTTTAACTGGGACAATGTGACTTTCTCAGATGAAAGTTCTGTGTGGCTGTTTCCTAATACACTGAAATTCTGGACCAAACAAACTGAAAAACCTTTGTATCAGCGCCCAAAGTACAGTCCGAAATTTAACGCGTGGGGTGGCATATCTGTGTTAGGGGCAACGCCCCTCTGTGTATTTGAAGGGAATATGAACGTGAGCGGTACACAGATATTCTCAAGGGACATTTACTTCCATCTGCTCACGTGTTCTATAGAAATTTGTGGATTTTCCAGCAGGACAACGACCCAAAGCATTCACAGGCCTGGTTTCGGACCCAAAATATGACATTATTAGATGGTCCAAGCTATAGCCCTGACCTAAATCCAATAGAAATGTTTGGGGACTTATGTAGGAAATAGTATATAAGAAAAATCTGACAAATATTGCTGAAATGAAAGAAGAGGTGGTCCGATATTGGTCCAATGGAAATGATATGATTACACTTGATGGGTGGTATTAGATACGCCTCTCATTCAGATGATGTACAGTAAGCTGACACATGGATGTCGCAAAGCAAATGTCATCTGTGATGACGATGTCGCACTGTCAGGTTATGTACTCTGACACGTTTGCTAGACTAACCAGGTCTCTAATTAATATTATATTAAATGATAATTTCTAAAACATATAAACAAAAAGAACACACTGTCCTTCAAACAGACTAGACTTGCCTCTTTAAAGGATAGAATTACTATACACCCATGGGCTTAGCATTCAGTACAGCCTTGGAGCAAGGCTAACTGGTGGCCTGCTGCAACTAAGTGGCAGTTTGCATCCTTTTTCTTAACGCCATCGTCGGGACTTATCTGCCATCTTCTTGTCCTCGGACTTGGCTTTGATGATCGACGTTATGTGTTTGTTGGTTTCTGGCCGACAATCGGCTGATGACAGCTTAAGAAATATGCAGCGTTTTGGCAACAATATTACGAAGTGAGCCCACCGTAAACATGCACATGACAAGTAAATGACTCAGCACGTTGCAAACGTCGCAGGGGCAATACTGTTACTTATATAATGATTAAATGTGTTAAATATAGTGTCTTTGGTCATTTGGTTTGAAGTGAACGTAAATCAATACAATGTAAATTACTATGTAAATATTGCATGCTGTCCAAGGTATGGTGCTTCATGACTGTTATAATGTTGTGTATTTCTTGGGAAATCGCTTACTTTCATTGGCATTGTCTCTTTTCCTGTAATTTCACGTAAACGCAGAAGATCTTCTGCTTCTAAGACAGTTTTTGACAATAACTGGCTATTAGAACCGTAGTTGTGAAGCTGCTAGTTTCATAAACTAAATGTACGTTGAGTACACGAGGGGCACACTCAAAATAAAGAACATATTCATAGATTTCAACGTTTTACAGGTTTAACCGTTTAAGTTTCAATATTCAAGTTTAACCCGATATCCCCTGATCTCAGAACCTTCGAGTGCCGAAATATATTTATAAAAATTATTGTATAAATATTTGAGATTAAATTATACGCAGAGACTTCGGATGATCTTGGCTCTTTATCAGCTCCGCCCTCCCTTCAAGAAGCCCAGACAACGACTGGGACTAGTTCCAGCAAGGGCTGTGTCTAGTCGTTGAACCCACCAAAAACTTTTCGGAAAATGTATTGACTTCCAACAGTGCGGCCTGCTGCATTACTCCATAGTGTTAGAAGTCCCAAAGTCATTTAACACATATGACACCAAAACCAAGGCACCAATAAAACTGGCGAGTCTGCAATCTTAACATTACAGAATTTCAAAACCAGGACCGCATATATGCCATTTTCTTCTTAATCCTGTTTGTGTCCCAAGTTCACAGATGTCAGTGATTCAAATGTTTTCACTAGATATACGAGTTTCAAATAACAAGGTCAAGTTTGTTGGCCTTGATGCGTCTGAGGATGTAAACGAGGCTGTACCAGAGAATTTTATAATTATTCCAAAACTCCCTCTACATCTTCTGGGTCGTACAATGGATGGGCTTCTAAGTCAAAACCACAAGAATGGAGAAAGATCGATCCACGCTATCATGTCGCTTCAGATCCTCTTGGCAAAGGTGGGCATCCACTGACTGTCAATACAACTCATTGCATTTACCGCTTAATATTAGGTCTCGCTTGGTTGATATGAAAAAACATCGGTCCGTTCAATGCATTGAGGAAAGGGTAATCAAATTAAGCAAGTGTGCAGAGATCATACATAGTTATGTCTCCGATATATATGTCTCATGTCATATCATTTGAATGTTCGGTACTTTTGCTTTGTTTTATATTGTTTCCACCATTTTAAGACAACACACTGCAGGCTCAAAGTATAAGGTGAGCGTAGGACGTGTATTTGTCTCACCTGTAATTTTGCCAAGTAACATTTGCGGTGTGATATAGACATTTATACCATATACATTCTATAGACATCACCGTCATCTAAGTACTGATATCAGTCCTCCGCTTGTTTCGAATTGCGGATATCTCGAACTGTATATCCCACAAATATGCGACAAAGGTTAGTTTTTTTTATCGGAAGCAATGTTAGCAAATCGTCCGGGTAACACTTTCCCCATTGTCTTCAAACACTTAGTCGCAGCCAAATCCGTTGTTCTAAACACTTTGGCAAATAATTCCTAACCTTGATCATTATCTGAAAATAACACGCCTAAGCAGGAATATGAATTCTTCAAACACAACGAAGAATTTAATCCCTCTTGAACTATATCGGCGCTGGCGTGTTCTAGATGCGTCTCTGCGTGATGAACACCGAGATTATCACTCGTGTGGCAAGGTGACAAAACAAAGGCTATGTGTTTATACAAAGATGGGGTTGGCCAAAAGGGATATTTCTATATGTAAAATGTTACTTTAAATGTATCAAGCGCCAAACTGTGTTCTGCAGTGGTATTATTAGACACCGAACATTTGTACTTATTACTATCAACCTGTTTATGATGAAAAAGGTGTGATTTAATATTGAGCGTGAAATTGGTATCAAACCTCTTTGTCCTTTCTTCCCTCTCACGGATATACAGGTAACATTTAAAAGACGTTATCAAACAAGATAATGAACTTCCAACTTTTGTTCAAATAATCTGCATAATTTCTTCAGAAATCCAACGTATGTTTCTAATGAATGGATCATGGAACACGCACTTATAAGTGTACTTGTCTAAATATTGACCCCAGTGCAGAGAGTGAGTGAGAATAGCTTATGCCGTTTT